ACCTTTTATACTCCTATCGGGTAAGTTTCAGTCATTTAGAGCACATGTTGCAATTGCTCAATGATGTAAGTTGTTTTAAGAAAGAAATGTACAAAGACATGTAGTGTTTTGTGGATGTCAGTCATGCAGGTTTCGCGGAAAAGCGAGTGGCTCAAAAGCGCGCTCGCGCACCACTTCAGCCCAGAATCAGATCCCTGCGTGGAAAACCAGATCGTGGTTTTGGCCACCGGTGTGGACCAGTACCTCCAGGAGGTGTTTCATCACCTCGCCTTTTACAACGGCGATGACCTCGTTTCGGATGAGGACTTTAGGAGTCTGTGTTTGGTTTTGGGATTCCCCGCGAGCGCGGAGACTGAGAACGGCACCTCAGAGCACCGGGACATTTGCGATGGACTTCCTCACGTGCTTAACTTTAGAGAATTCCACGCACGACTATGTGGCTCTTTCTCTCTAAAGGCGCAGGAAGGGCAGAAGGGAGTTCGACTTCCGGTCAGTGAGGAGACCGAGCACATCGAGCGCGAGATCAGACTCCGGCGTCCCCGCGTCCGGAGGAGAAAGTGCGTCAGTTTTGATCTGTCTGCCGACCACCAGAACCGGAAGAGGGCAGTGAGAAGATCAGGACCATCTCAGTATCCGGATCATTTGCAGAGCTCTGCTGTGGAAGCCAAGAGAAACGCAGGTTGGAGCTTCATACACACACCTGAGCTGTCATTTTTAGCTGTACCTTTCAATCCAAAAACTCAAGACTTAGAGGAAATTTTTAGCCTTTAATGATTAATAATGAAGATTTATTTAATTTTTTTTAATCCAAATAAACTTCACTGATTTATTTACTGATCATATTTCATACAAAATTCAATCTTAAAATGTTTTAAAAAGATGTAGTTAGAAAATGAATTTATGCTAAGAATTAGTATATATTATTATATTTAACGTTTATTTATTCATTTATATTTACACAATTATAATAAACATTTAAAATAACTTATTAATAAATAATTGAAATCATTCAAAATCAATTAATTTAAAATCAAAAGACGTGTTTTAAAATGATTCAAAAAAATTATAAAAAAGTAGTAAGTTAACATTAAAGAATAATAGTAAAATAAAAATATTCATAATTAAAAGCATGCAATCAAAATTAAATCGTAAAATGTTTTAAAAACAAGTAGTTTGAAAACGAATTTATACTAAGAATTAGTATATATTATTATATTTAACATTT